TCACATGATGACGCGACAATCTTTATTCTTTAAGGTGAAAGGACAGAGCAGTTGAAGGACTAAACTACCACGCATAACGCCACTCGAAAGTCTCCATCAACATAAACTGAAATCACCCACGCAACCGTTGATTTATCGTTAGAGTTTATATACGGTAATGATTAAAAATGGAAAGCTTTTAAGCAGGTCATTCAGTTATATTTTATGAAAATTGCAACATGATCCCCTTTTTTCCTTTTTTTTTATCTTTTAATTTAAACAATTTTTTGGGGGTAGATAACATACTTCTTTTACTGTGGTTAATAAATTTTTTAATTTAAAATAAAAAAAAATTCTCCCTCTCTTCTGTTCTAAAATTTCCGTGTCAAACATAGGCTTAATTTTATAACAAGCTGACCCATACGTATCTACGACCCGAGCCAACATTTTGTCTTCATGCTGATTTCGTGGGCCAGCTGTATAACCTATTCCGTGAGGGTAATTACTTTGTATAAAACAGGAGCTTAACGTGGGTTTAAAAACATGTTAAATAGTTTATAATTATAAATTTAATATAAACATTATAACTAATAAAGTTTTAATAATTCAGCAATAAAATAACAATAATAATAAAGTTGTAATAAAGTAAATCTGTTCCTATTTAAATGTGAATTTAATTACTAATTTAGATCATTAATTCATAACATGTTTAAGGATCATGTTTACATTTTTGTAATTAAATAGATGAAAATTTACTTTGATAACTGGGAATTAAATTTATTTTTTAATCTAAATAATTTTTATATTAATTTAAAAATGAAACATCAGAAACTTTTTTCTTTTTTTATGATTCATCTTTATGTTTTAAGATTAATTAATTTGAAATAATGTGTAAATTATATTATTTTTTGCTAATATTTTTATTAATTTTATTCTTAATTTTAGAGATTAAAATTGTTTATTCACTTTTCATAATATTTTATATAAAATTTTATATTATATATAAATTTATCTTAATTCTTTTATATTTTTTTAATTTAAAATTTATTTTTATGAATTTTATCTCTTAATTTATAATTATTAATATATATTAATTATTGACTTTTAATTAAATTTTTTATTTAATTTTATATAAAAAAGTGTTATTTTAAAATTATTTAATTTTATTAAACTTTTACGTAATTATAGAGTTAACTAAAAATAATTTTAAAATATTTTTATTGTTAAACATCAATATTTTATTAAAGATAAAATACAAGAAAAAATAATATTCTAACTTATTATATTTCTAAAAAAATTAACAATACATGTTAAAGGATTATTAATTTAATTTAAATTAAATTTATTATATATAACTATTTATAAAAATATACAAAAATTATTCTTTAGTTATTATATTATATTTTATTTATCATAAAATAAAATATTATACATTTCAATGACTATTAAACTAATTTATCTTTAAGTAAATGTGATAAATTATGACTTTTATACTACATTAAAAATATTATACTGAATTTTATTATAATTTTTTTAAAATATATAAATTACACAAATTTAAACTTATCTTGAAATAAAATTAATTGCGAGTCAAATTTGCAAACCTACGTCAAAAGATACGGTTAATTGATTGAGACGCAGTACCCATTTTGGATTAACGTGACAATTGATTGAGACGCAGTACCCATTTTGGATTAACGTGACGATTGATTGGGACGGATACCAATTTGGATCGTTTTTTTTTTATTCAAACTGACATTAATTTGAGAGAAAAGATAATAATATATTTTCTAACATATTTTTTTATTAATTAAATTTTATTAAAAACTAAAAAAATATGAAAGTATAAAATCATATTATTTATATAATTTTAAATAAACTTTAATCAATAATAATTTGTAGGTTATTAAAAAAGGTTGTTAACATTACTCATAATTTTAATTTACGTGCTTAATTATTTAAAAAGTTAAATAATAAATTTATTAATATTAATTTAAATAATTAAAAAACTATTAGAAAAGAGAGCATGGTAACAATGCTTGTCATTTATCTGTAAGTAAGTTTTTGTTCCTAATTTGAAATTAGAAAATCATTCTTTATTTTTATTCTTATTTTATATCTTCTTCACGCTTTCTCTTTTTTAATTTATAATCTATATAAATATAATATTTATTTTAGTTTATAAAATATACAACATTATTTAACTAAGAGAAAGAGAAAGGGAGACTTGTTAAAAAACTTGAACGTCATTGTTATAGTAAAAGAAAATGACATGAAAAAAATAAAAAAATAAAGAAAAATATACTTTTTTAAAAATTATAAATTCTTGTCATTTTATGTTTAGGATAATTTTTTTTATGTTAATTAATATGATAAATTATTTATTTAATTTCTTAACAACAAGAAATAAAGTAATTAAATATTGTTAATTTTAAATGTTAAAATATTGAATTTAAAATTTAAAAGATTAACTTTAGTCGCATTTTAAATTTTATATTTCATAGATTAAAATGGGAGTTTCTAGAGAGAAAAAAAGGAAGTTTATCTTATAATTATTTTTATAATTTTTATAATTTAAACTGCAAAAATTATGATTTATATTCTATGATTAAAGAAAATTAAAGAAAAAAAGGAGTAAGAAAGTAAACAAATAATTGAATATCATTTTGGCAATTTTTAATAAAAATAAATGTGTGTATATATATATATATATGTGTGTGTGTGTTTATTTTAAAAAAGTATAATTAGACACTTTAATAAAAAACTTGCTCAGTTTTTTTTTTCCTTAGCACCAAAAACAGCACTCCACATGATATCGATCATTAATCACCATGGCTTTCATTTATTTTATTTTTAAATAAAAATGCATACACTGTCTGTTCCATGTTATTAGCGTTAGTGAACAAAAAATTATGTCCAGTTTAAAAATTTTAAATTAATAAATTATTGTAAACTATTCTCTTGTTTCAGTTTTAATTGTTTATAAAATAAAAAGTATATATGTCATATATTATAGAAAAAATAATAAATTATTTCTTTAATAAGTATTTTTTATTAATTATATGTACTCTATTAACATTTTTATTTTTATTTTCTATTACATCACTATTTATTTTTCATATGTCTTCTTATACTACTCCTCACGAAGACGCTCAGGCTCACATTTTTTTTTACACTCACATGGCCTCACATTTTTACCTCTGTTACCACCACTCACACAACATCACAATAAATACAGCTAATGTAACCAATTGAAAATACCTATTTAAAATATATTTAAAAATTAAATAATTAAAAAAATAAATCATTATTTTAAAAAAAAAGTAATCTATTAATTTTGCTTATATTATTCAAGTAGTCGGTAAATATACATAATATGTGGAAAGAATTAAAATATTTTTTTTAGAGTATTATTATTATTATTATTATTATTGTTATTATTATTACTACAAAATATATATCACATTATAAAAAATTATAAGCATTTGATAAATTTAATTTTCAATATTTTTAATTGATAAAAATATTTTACTAATGACAATTCTAATATTTTATTATATTTATTATTAACTAAGGAAATTTAAATATTAATACAATTTAACAATTAAAATTCGTTTTAGTCGAATAACTAATTAGGAAAAGAAAAATTACTGATTTCATTCAATATATAAAACTAAAAAGAAGTCAATATAAAATGAAAAACAAGACTATACATAAAACAAACATTTATATTAGCTATTTTGTTTTTAATTTAAAATTGTAACACCGTTAAAATGTTGTAAGATTTAATTTTTCCACCTTCTTATTTATTTATTTATCTCTTGTTTGATTTTAATTTTGTCACATTTATCTTGTGGCAATAGCAGATTAATAAATTTGATAAAATAAAAATAATGAAATGTGTCTGAAAATATTAAAGAATTAAATCAAAATAAAAAAAAAAAAGAATTGAAGAACCAACTTACTAATTTTGATGACAAACATCTTAAAAAAAACAATGTTTTTTTTAAAAATCTGAGAAATTAGAGTGTTTTTTTTTATGAAATTTAATTTTTTTAATACCTGGATTTGCGTTTATTTATTTATTTCATTACATTTCTTGCTTTCTCTTCTTAATTTTCATCCATTTTATATCACTGCAAAGTAGACATTATTTTTTAGTTTAATATTTTTTATATCATTAAAGAACTTGATATAATAATGATAGAAGGAGAAAGTTATAATTTTTGTGAAATTTATTTCCTCTACTTTTTTTTTACATTTTAGTATTTGCACAAGAATTAAAACTGACATTTTAAATTTTATAAAAAGCATTACTTATTTTTTTTTATACCATTTATCTGATATATTATTTAATATTTTATTTATTTATTATATTTTTACTAAACACCTTTTAATTATTAAGAGTAGTTTATAAAAAAACAATTGTTTAGTGTTTTATAAAATGATAATAAAAAATGAATGAAGTGAAATTGCTAAAGTGTAATAAGATTAATTAAAAATATATTATGATAAATTAATTAAAATTCATGCAGTTAAATCCATTATAATTTTTTATTTTAAGGATTAAGATTTTAAAATATGGGTTTGATTTAATATTAATTAGGAAGAGTTTTGGGCTAAAGTAATTTTAAACTAGCTAGTTGAGTCTTGTATTTAAAAAAAAATAAAAATTTAAAGGGTGGTTAAGACTTGAATTTTTTATTTATTATTGTTTAGATTTGTTTTTTTTTTTTTTATGTTTGTCATATATCTAATTTTTATTCTTTTTTTACCTTTTTTATAAGTATGATTGAATTCTTACTAGGAAGGGTGTAAATAAGTTTAAGAGTCTCTTGCTCCATATTTTATAAATTTGAAGAGAAAGTTATTATTTTCCTTTTATTTATTCATGCCATTGATGCCAAGTGAGCTAGCGATCGGTAATAGTACGTTGTATTGCCTATATAGCTTGGATCGTGTTGTCTCCTCTCCTGTCATCTGCAAGCAGTTTAGAGAGAAGCAACAAACAAGATCAAAGAATGGGAGAGGTACAGCCAACAGAGGAGATGAAGAAGGAAGTTATAAACAATGCCACAACAAGCTCTGGAAGCAAAGCAAGACTTGCCATTTTGGAACTAGCTCACATCATGAGTGTTCCAATGTCCCTAACCGCTATCTTAAACCTCAAAGTCCCCGAGGCCATATGGCAAGACGGTTCCAACACTCCTCTCTCCGCCTCCCAAATTCTCTCAATCATTCGTCCCCACGGCGGCGCCGACGCGGAGAACCTCCAACGCATCCTCCGCTTGCTCACAAGCTACGACATATTTGACGAGCACTTGTGCAGCAGTGGCCAAAGGAAATACTCTCTCACCGACGTCGGAAAGACCCTCGTTGACGATGAACATGGGTTATCCTATGCTTATTACATGCTCCAGCATCATCAGGTTATTACTTTTCCTTTTCATCGTCATTTTTCACGTTTCTTAACGTAATTGAGTAATGTGAGTGTTATATTCTTTTTTTTTTCTTTTATCGCATTAATATAAATTATTTATGGTTGAATTCAAAGTTCAGTCTTCATGTTTAACAGTACAGAAGAAATTAAACATTTATTATTTAGATATATAAAACTATAATAAATATTTTTTTCTTATAAAATTTACCACTTTTGCATCTGAGTTTAAAGGAAGTTTTTGGTAAAAAGTTTTTGAAAATATTATAAAATATTAAATTGTAAATATTAATTAAAGAATGAATAAATCTGAGTAATATTTTTAAATGTATGAACTTTTATAAGAACAAGAATCTTATTTAATCATAAAAAAAGAAAGAAAGATGATGAATGATATATTGAACGGCGGTTCTGATAGGATGCATTGATGGGAGCATGGGCGTTGGTGGGGGAAGCAGTGATGAATCCAACCACAGAACCATTTGTGAAGGCTAACGGAGAGTCAGCGATAGAGTACTACACGAAGCGACCAGATGTAATGGCTTTGATTTATAAGTCATTGTCTGGGATGTCTGAGCCTTTAATGAGGGAATTGCTGCAACTCTACGACGGCTTCCATGGTGTAGACACACTTGTTGACGTTGGTGGCTGTAACGGTGGTTCTCTTCGCATGATCATGGCCAAGTTCCCCAATGTCAGCAGTGGCATCAACTTTGATCTTCCCAATATGGTGGCTACTGCACCAAACGTTCCAGGTTCCTACCTACTTATGTATCATTTATTATTATTAATCTTATACAGTAAATAAAGTTCAATTAATTATTCAATAAAATCTTATTAATTCACTTTAAATAATAAATGATTATGTAGCACGTAATTTTCGATTATTTAAATAACGTAATTATATGTACATTTTGGATCACTGCCATCTTGGAATGTTTGACTTTCCGTATGAATTTACTGTTCGTATAGCTTTAACGTTAGTTATATTATATATTCGTAGGTGTAACCCATGTTGGTGGTGACGCGTTTACTTCTGTTCCCCCTGGGGATGCTATCTTCATCAAGGTGCCCCTTCTCAGTTTTAATGGATTATTTGTTTTATGGTTAACAAATTAATTCTCATATATATATATATATATATATATATATATATGTATATATATATCATTTAACTTAATTCACACACATATATACATATATATTATTTCATATTTATTTATTTATTAACATGTGTCTGAATAGTTCATATTAACAAAATCCATTAAAAAATAAATAAACTAGAGCCAAATTTGTGTATCCAAAAAGCCTGCTTCAACATTGTCTGATCAAATGACATGAGAAATTTCAAATTTTTTGATGTTGTATGAACTTGCAGTGGGTTCTTTTAGCATGGACAGACGAGGAATGTAAGGTGGTAATGCAGAACTGTCATAAGGCACTTCCGGAGAATGGAAAATTGATTGTTTGCGAACCAGTGGTGCCGGAGCTGACCGATGAGAGTCGCAGAACAAGAGCACTGCTTGGGGGTGACGTATTCATAATGACAATGTATAGAACTAAGGGGAAGCACAGGACCGAAGAACAATTTAAACAGCTCGGCATTTCTTCTGGTTTTCCTCGTTTCCGTGCCTTCTATGTTGACACTTACTTGACTGTGCTTGAGTTTCAGAAATGAGTGTGATGTTAATAAATAAGTCTAGCATGAAAAATGACGAGGAAATATAATAATTATATAGGAACGATAGTACTGGGACACATTAATTAGATTGTTCCTTATGAATAAACTTTCCTCAATAATTTGGTTTTGTCTTCTGCTTTTAACTTGTACACCGGAGTATTGATTTCATTTTTCTAAGATAGTTGCAATAGCTAGCAAGGCAACCTCAAATTGGAAAACAAGAAGCAAAAATTAAGAACAATACGTAAATGCATATATGCGCTCAAAAATGATAGAGATTATTATTAATAAATAATTATACTTTTCAATAGTAGACTTAAATGAACATTCAATTATAAATTAAACAACTAATAGCTTTACCCTTAAGTATTGATGATTATATATATATATATAGTTCTGAATAAAGAAATTTGTAACATTATTTTGTCTCGAAACTTCTTTTACATATTTGACATTTATGCCATGTATAAGTTTAGAATTAACTTTGTTTTTTTCTATAATTAAGTTGGTGATTTGCTTTAGAAAAAAATGTGATATATAGTTAACTGAAATGAAGAGTTATTGACTTCAGAAATATGTAATTATTTTTATGAGTAAATTCCTCTGTGAGTGATTGGTAAAAATATCATTTTAATTATAAAAAAATTATGATATCAAATAAGTTTCTCAGACGATATTCAATAAATTATTTTATTAAGTTATAATTCAAAATTGATATTATTTTTATGTTTTTCAATATTTGAATAACATAATATTATAAATATCTAAAAGGCTAAATTAACGTTAAGTATAATTCCATAAAGGAATAAAAATAATTTAGTATTTAATTTATATTTGTTTATGCATTTCATATTTTTTTATATTATACTAATAACATAATCGATAGAATAACTGATTGAATGTTTACTATATATCAATTGATATTGAATGATTGTTTTCAAAAATTAAATTAATATTTTTAATTTTGAAAGTAACTTATAATAAATAATATATTAAAATATAGTTTAATATAAATAATTTTTTAACAATGTTATTATAGTAAAAAAAATTATTTATTTTATAAATTTCTATGGATGAAAAATATATTTGTTTTTTAATAATTTTGGAACCAAGCCAGTAAAAGAAAAGAGAAGCAAAGCCACAAATATAAATACATACAAGGTGTATTTGGTAAAACTAACTCACAAGTGAATTAGAAGTTACAGGTTAATTGATTTAAATCAGAAGTAAGAATTTTTGGTTGCTTAACAATTCTTGGATTGAGAATATTAATATATTTCAATCTAATATTGTTGTTTTTGAATAAGTTGTCGTTTGGTAATATTTTCATTGAAAACACATGATCTTTAATAAAATTTTGAGGAAATATGTAGAAAATTTTGTTTAAGAGACAATCCTTTTTTTAGTTAAACTTATGAAATCATTAAAAAGAAAATGAAAATATTCTTATTAAGAGAAAGCTTCGTACTAAATTACTTAAATTGGAGCATAAAAATAGTAGATTTTTTCATAAAATTTTTGTTATTTGTAGGAAAAAAATAGTTATAGTTTTAAAAAAACTATAACGAAGAATATGAACAATTCTGGAAATCTTAAACTAATTGCCATTAATTTTTTCAAACAATTGTATTTTGATCCTCAGCATAATCCTAATAAACTATCCGGTATTAATACCTTTCCCTCCTTACATAAAGTTGATATTGATAAATTGAAAAAATGAGCTATCTTTAGAAGAAGTTAAAGCTCCAATTTTCAACCTTGGAAATTTGAAATGTCCTAATGTTGATGGATTACATGCCCATTTTTACAAAGATCAATGTAACTTATTACATCCTTTTATTTTCAAGTTCATTAAATAAATTTTTAAAAATTCTCAAAAATTAAATCTGTATGATGAAAAAAAAGTTCTTTAAAGTATTTCTATTTTAAAAAATATCTTAAAAATGCATTTGTTTTAGAACTCATACTTACAAATTATACAAAGAGGTTAATATGTAGAGTTATATTAATTAAAAATATTTTTATTAAGTGTTATTATATTCTTAATTAAACCACATAATTTCTCTTACATTTAATATTATTTAGTTCGTTTATTCTATCTTGATTTGAATTCAAAATTTTCTTAATTTTAAAAACCTTATTCTTTTAACTTTGTCCTATTAAATAGAGTAAAATTTAAATTGTTACAACAAAATTATATTTTCTTTTAAATTTTATAAATTTTGTGAATTTTAGAAAAGACATATAATATATATAATTTTATTCAAAAATTTTCTTTTAAGTTAATAACATCTGAAGAGTAGAAAAAATTCACTAATATAAAGTTCTAAATGTATAGATTATAAATTCTTAAAAATTGCAATAAAAACAACGTTCACATTAAGTTTTATTTGTAATTTTTTTTATAAAAAGCATTTTGCAATTATTCATGATAAAATAAAAAAATTAAAATAAAATACCTATGCATTATACAAGCTAATAATCAATAACAACAAAATCAACAACACCAATATAAATTGATATTAATTTTAAATAAATTAAAAAAATGATAACTATAATACAAATTATGCATTTTAAAAAAATATAAGAGAAATTATATGTTATTGTTATACAAAACAACCATAAGTGGAAGTATATTTGATATTTTTCTGATTTTTTCAAACAAATGATTTGATGAGTTGATTGAATATGTGCTATCAATTAAGTTAAACCTGAAAATAATAGTAAAAATGTTTATAATTATTCAACACATGTATCTGATTCCATACAAATCCTCAGAAAGCTATAGCCCTCCATCAGACTCGCGCGTACGCACCTTCCTCGTGCTGGACTTAGCTTTCAAAATTGCCTTTGTTGTACATTAAATATTGAAATAAATAATAGTTATCAATATTAAAGACTTAAAAAAAAAACAAAATATTTGTAGATATAAATTTAAAATTAATTTCATATTTCATTAGTATTCTTTTTAAAAGTAACGACAAGTGACCCAAGCGTACCTAGAAAACGAGGAAACATTTTGTCTTTGTTCAGATTTCATGGGCCAGCTGTATCTCAAATTACATAAAGGTAATTAATTATTTTGTCGTAAAATGGCATCTTAATTGATTGAGGAGTTACCATTTTGAGTCTTGGCTGATTCTAGGTCCTTTCTTTTTTTTAAAAAAAAAGGTAAAATGAAAATATCTTTTTTAGAAGCTTTTAAATATTATAGAATATTGATAAAAATTAAATGATTAAAAATAAAAGACTGAAAATTGATGATATAAATTACATTTAATAAAAGATATATTGATCTTCGATACGATCCTATTTTTTATTATTTTCTTTTTTTTCCTTATTTTCTTTCATTAACATTAATAATAGAACTCTTTACCGAAAAAATATTAAAAATAATTGAAAAATATTGTAATTTTAGAATTTGATTTTTCTAAACTTTCACAAAGAGTTTGGTCAGACAGATCTCAAAAAGTTAAATGAAATAGACATATAATTTATATAAATCTAAATTTTATATCACTTCAAAATTTACAATATTAAAAATAATACTATTCAAAATTTTTGCTACTTTTTAAATTAGTTCTATCACAGAACTGATGTAAAAAGTAGTTTTTTTTTTAAAAAATCTTTCTATATCGATTGATTGTTTGAAACAATTGACGTAGAAAGTAACATTTTTTTATGTTGTTATTTTTTATATCGGTTCTTTAAGATAATAGATGTAAAAAATATATTTAACAAAAAAAAGCTACTTCTAACATCATTCTCTCATATGATCAATGTAAAAAGTAATGTTTAAAAAATAAAAACTTTTTACATCAGTTCTTTGAGAAAACTATGTAGAAAGTTGTATTTTTTAATATATATATATATATATATATATATATATATATATAAAGTTTTTTTAATGAGAGAATCGATGTAGAAAGCTTTTACTTTTTTTCTTTACGTTTTTTCAATTCTTCATCTTATGTCTTCTCTATTCTTCATTCTTCATCTTCTCTTCTCCAATGGTTACAAAAGTCATTCAAATTGCAAACTAATAGTTGATTAACAGAGATAGAACAAGAATGACGCAGTAAGTTAGAGTATGATATAAAGTAACATTTCTTCTCCAATGTCTATCTTTTTTGAATGAAGCTTCGTCTTCTTCAACGGTGCAGAATAAATAAGATAGGATGAGTAAAGTCATTTATTAATGTTCTGGAGTGTCATGAAATCAAGAACTTGCATTACTTAAAAAGGGAAGATCATAGAATATAAAAGTTTACAATTTATTATTTTACTCTTTATGATTAACAACAAAAGCAGGTTATTCATCTGATTTTTTCTTGTTCTGTTTTAATCCTATTTATTGATTTAATATACAATATTTAAAATTTACTTATACAGTAGTTTTACTTTTATAAAGAAAAGGAGGATCGTAGAATCATTCCTTTAGATATTATTATTCTCTTTCAAGCATCACAGTGGTCTTTTTACTTTTAGTTTTCTTATTAAATTGTATATTGAATCATGATTTTATTAGTATTAATTTAAGTAATTAAAAAAGAGAACACTACCAAAAAGAGAATAATGCTTATTTTTCGTGTCCTTATACTCTAATTAATTGAACCCCATTTTGTAATATGTATTAAAGTACACTTAAAGTTCAGTTTAATGCACTCATCATTCTCTAGTCAATGCCCGTTCATACATAGATTTATTTTCTTGGGATCTTTATTCATGGATTATTAACTAGAAAGCCACCTTTCCCTTCATAGCTTGAGATAATGCTATAAATCGAGCGATCTTCAACAATGAATATACAGTACTCCATGCAATTATTATTAAGGCAATAATTAGTGCCATTGATGTCACCTGTGTACGTGAAAATTCCTTATATAGACATTTGGTGTTGCATGCCTACATACTCGTCTCTTTCTTTAGATGTCTCCTACAAATGGCTTGACTAAGGACTTCACTAATAGTTTAGTAAAGGGACCCAAAGAATTGGTGGTTGTGGTAGGGATTTTAGAGATGAAACTTTATAACATTATAGATTAGTTACTGTAAATTTCCTTATGAAGGTGCTTCCACAACAAAACTTCCACCTATTGTCATATGCATCATTTATTATCAATGGGGCCATACTTCAAATAATAATAATAATAATAATAATAATAATAATAAGTTGAAAAATGAATGGTTTCAGCTTTTACAAAATCAATCAAGAGAGAGAGGAAAAGGAATATTAAAAAGAAGCGAAAAGCGATTGAAGAGAAAAGGATAAAGCAAGTTTTGTTTTAAATTTTATTTAAAAAATTACACAATTAAAATTAATCCTTATAAATTTTTTTGCCACAAATAATGGAGGAGATGTAAATGAAGAAGTTGAAAAACACTCTTAATGAACTTAGGCCTGAAACTGATGAGTCAGTTATACAAGTTCCTCTAGAATCAACTTTTGAACTTCAATTATGGAGATTTGTTAAAGAACATCATTCTTCATAGTGATACACTTCACATGAGTATATGTTATTGACTAACAGGAGAGAGCCAAAAGTTGCCAGGAAACTATGTCACATGACCAAAGAGATAAGTGGTATAAAGTTATGCAAGAAGAGATGCATTGTTTGTTTAAAATTTTACTTTTGAGTTAGTGAAACTTTTTCAAAGAAAGAAAGAACTTAATAATAAGTGAATTTTAAATTAAAACTAAAAGAGAATTCCTTATAACTAAGGTACAAGACAAGGTAAGTTTGACTTTGATGAAATATTTTTTACTTGTATTTACGATGTTTTAATGAATCTTGTTTGTCGTGGAAGAAAAAAATTATATAGAAGTTAAAGATTCATAGAGAAGGACAAAAAGAAACTTGTTAACACATTGAAAAATAGTCTATACATAATTAAATAGAATGTAAGGTGATGATATAAAAAGTTTGACTCTTTTATTGTGAATTATGAGTATAACAAAAACTCTTCTAATAGTCATGTGTTATAAAGAATTGTTTTGATGAAAAATTTATGATAAAGTTAATAAATTAATTTGTTAATTTTTATTTTGTTTTGGATAGTTCTCTAACTTTTTTTTTTTATTTTGGTCCATTAACTTACAAAAATTGTTTAATCGAGTATTTTTTTTGTCAAAAAATGTTAATTACTTCAAAAGAAAATTATTGTTTAACTTCTTTCTTTTGAAATCTAACGAAAACATAATATATTCCAACAAAAAATTATGTTATATCATATTATTTTTTTTATATACTTTTTCTTTATTGTCTTTTTCCTTAACCATACCTATGTGATTTCTTTCTTTGAAAACTTTGACAAAATACAATATATTCAACAAGTTTTTCATTTGGATCCTACAATTGTAAGAAAAGATAGAAAGCAAAGACAATAATGGTGTAATCAAGCACATATAAGATATTAATGACCATTTGTCTTTTTTTATTTTTCTTATTCATCCTCAAAATCTTTTTCTTTCTTCTTCTTTTTCTTCCTTCATGACTTATTTTCTTCTTGTAAACTTTGATAGAAACATACATTTAGATGGGTATTAAAGTGTTTTTCATCATTATTACTTATTTCCTATAACACATGTTATTTTCATGGTAATGTAAGAAACTATAATTTCAACTGAGAGGGGATTAACAAGGAAAATAAATTAGTTGAGGAAGTGTTGATAACAAGTAAAAGGAAGAATTAAACAAAGAAGAAAAAAGAAGGAACAAGAAGAAAAAAGGTATAGAAGACTTTATCTCCATCAAAATGCTTATTAGTACCTTAATTGTGTTTGATATCACTATCGTTATCTCTTAATCTCTGACTTCTCTTACAAATCTCAAGACTCAATTAGAGAATCTGTTAAAATATATAATGTTTTTATCAAAATTTTTATAAATAGGAAAAATGAGTCCTATAAGTATGAATGAGGAGTAAAAGAAGGTCGAAAAAAAAAAAAAGGTAGAAGAAAGAGAAAAAAACAAGGCAATTAAAAATTTCATAAGAATATATTGTATTTTTGTAAGAGTTTACAAGAAAGAAGAAAATAAATAAATTTTTTAACAGGTTAACACTTTATATATATATATATATATATAATATAATATAAATTTATTTAAAATACTTTTGTAAGTTCCAGAACTAAACTCAAATAAAACTAAGAGTTAAAAACCTATGTACTAATTTTATTAAAATTTATTATTCTTTTATTTTATATAGATAGCATATTAATTGTTGGTCTTGACATAGATGAATTTGTGACTCTCAATGGACAGTTGAACAAGTCTTTTGCAACGAAAAATTTAAATTGTAAAAGTAAATCTTTAACATGAAAATTGTTTATGACAAGAAAAATAATAAGTTGTAGATATCACAGTAAAATATATTCAAAAAGTATTGAATAAGTTTTAAATGAGTAATTCTAAAGTAGTTGTTACTCTACTATATGTCACTTTAAGTTAAGTTATAAGTAATGTCCTACAAGTGAGATAGAAACAAAAAAAATACAAAAGATTCCTTATTAGAAGATTTATTTAAAAGTATTGGATTGATGATTTATTTCAAATTTTAATATATTATTCTTTTAACTAAGAATATCATTTTGATATATTTTATTTTGGATTATGTTTAAATTTTATGTTTAGAGGAAGAGGAAAGAAAAAACAAGGAGTTAGTGAGATTTAACTAATTAATTAACTAAAAAGGAAAATGTGAAGTTTTTTTAAACTCAAAAATTCTCTTAACTTAAGTTTTTGAAGATTTCTGTTATGTGTTTTTTTTTTCTCTTTCACTCTCGTTTTCTTTTATGAATAAAATTTTAATTTTTTAAATATATTAACTTTTTATTAAAAATTATAAAAAATAAAAATATTAATTTTTAGAAAGAAAAAAATTTAACTTTTTGTATCTTTAAAAAAAAATAAAAAAAACTATAAATAAAATATATAAAAGATAATATGTTATTTATATAATTAAATTTCATCAATCTTCTCTCAATATTAAACATTTGAATAAAAGAATTGTTTAACCTTTTGTTTTTTTTCTTATTCTCTCTTTAGATTCTATCCTTTCCTCCAGATTTAAATTTATACTATTTTCTTTTTTCTTGGTAAAATTATTTATTGAATAATTTTGTAGTGTTGTTTGAAATTACTTTTTTAATAATCTTTAAAATTTTTGTTAATCTTTGTAAGTTCTAAAAATACTAATTGTGTATTCCTTAATTTTTATTAATGAAAATTTTAAATATTTATATTTCCTTTACAATATTTAAATCTTATAGACAAATGATGTCTCTTTATTAATTTAATTTTTTTAATACATGCAATATACACAACATAAAAGGATATATAGTTTATTTTTATTAAAAATTATAATATTTAATATTATTAAATGTAAATTGATAATTTTTATTAAAAATTACTATATATAATTTTTCGTTATTTATAATATTGCATCGATTAAAATAATAATCATTAATTTAGCAATATATGAGTAGGTGATATTTTTTTAATTAACGATATCTACTTTTAAATTAGAGTTAAATCCAAATTAACGTGTTTGTCCGTGTTTTCAAGAAAAGCATTTTTTATTATCTTGATTTAAAAGAATTATACATGTCTGTATATTTTTTAACTATAATAAAAAATTTTATCATATGTAAATTATTTTTAATATTTTATTAATTATAATTATTATTTTTATATAATTTATATATTTATGAAATTAATAAATTTTATTAATAAATATATATAATATTAAATTATAATGGTATTAAATTTAACATATGAATTTTTAATGCTCTAAAATTCATAGTTTTTTTTATTTAATAGCTTATTTTTAATTTTTATAATTAGTACTTATCTACAAATTAATTTTTATATTTAAAATAATAACATTTTAGTCTTGAACAAATACTTTACCATGCGTCAATTTCTGCTACTTTAATAAAATATTTGTATATAAACTAAAATATAAAAATTAATTCATAGATGTATATCTGAATGTATAATTTATATATAAAAAAATTATTGTTAACTTTTTATTAATATCGTTAAGTGCAGCTGTCACCTGCACCGATTCTTTATTCGCAGCCGGTGAGATAGAAATCGGTAACAGTGCCTATATAAATTGGCGTCGTCTCGTGAGTCCTGTCTTCTGTAAGCAAATAGTAAGAGGCAGAACAAGAGATTTATAGAGAAGCAGAAAACAATAAAGAATGGGAGAAGTGCTGCAAAAAGTAGAAATGAAGAAGGAAGACACCAACAATACCACAACAAGGTCTCAAAGCAAATCAAGACTTGCGATTTTGGAATTAGCTCACATGATGAGTGTCCCAATGTCCCTAACCGCTATCTTAAGCCTCAAAGTCCCCGAGGCGATGTGGCAAGACGGTTCCAACACTCCTCTCTCCGCCTCCCAAATTCTCTCAATCATTCGTCCCCACGGCGGTGCCGACGCGGAGAACCTCCAACGCATCCTCCGCTTGCTCACAAGCTACGATATATTTGACGAGCACTTGTGCAGCAAAGGCGAAAGGAAATACTCTCTCTCCGAAATCGGAAAGACCCTCGTTGACGATGAACAGGGTCTATCCTATGCTTATTTCATGCTCCAGCACCACCAGGTTATTAATTTTGCCTTTCGTTGTTTACTAACATAATTGAGCAAGATTATATATTTTTCCTTTTTCGCACTATTATAAATTAAGAACTAACTCTAAATCTATAAACTTTAATTAAAAAAAAAAGATTATTGAACGGTGGTTCTGATAGGAGTGTGTGCGCCCAGGATGCATTGATGAGATCATGGGCGTTGGTGGGGGAAGCAGTGGTGGATCCAAAGACGGAACCATTCGTGAAGGCTAACGGAGAGGGGGCGATAGAGTACTACACAAAGCGACCAGATGCAATGAATTTGATTCACAAGTCGCTGGCTGGGATGGCTGGGCCCATGATGAGGGAAATTCTTCAAGTCTACGATGGCTTCGAAGGTGTAGACACACTTGTTGACGTTGGTGGCTATAACGGTGTTTCTCTCCGCATGATCATGGACAAGTTCCCCAGTATCCCCAGAGGCGTCAACTTTGATCTTCCCGATGTAGTGGCCTCTGCACCACACATTCCAGGTACCTTCTTATCTATCTCAACATTGTTTCTTGAACAATTTTAAATATATTTCTTTTTTATTTTTTCATATATTTGTAAGATCCATATTAAATTCAAAATAAAAACAGTTATGTAACATGTTGTCAATTTTTAGTTATTTAATGAAAATCATTAGCCTCAATCCAATAAACAAGTTAATGCTCCAGCACCATCAAGTTCTAATGCAATAAATGTATTTTTTAAAAATAAATATTTATTATCTATAAATGCTCAAATTTAATATTAAAAATTGAGATGAAGAAATTTTTCATTCTTTCTATTTCTTTTTGTCTTACATTTAAGGTTGTTTTACACGGTTTAAAAAAATTAATAAATGTATTAATTTATATAAATTTTATCTATTTTTCATTTTATCCTTATTTTATCTAATTACTCAACTTATTTTTATTTATTATTCTTTTAATATTAGAAATAAAATGTATCTTATGAATTAATGTGCAAATAAATTATGATAAAATTTGTGATTTATTTTGATTATTTTTTTTAACTTTACAATAACTAATTATTTACTTTATGATAAATATTAAAATAAGCAAGTGTTTTATAAAGGGTAAGTTGTATATTTTGGGTTAGGGTCACTGCCATTTTGGAATGTTTACTTTTATCTTTTGTTTCACTATTTGTTACTCGTCTGTTATATTATATTCGTAGGTGTAACCCATGTTGGTGGTGACGCGTTTACTTCTGTTCCCCCTGGGGATGCTATCTTCATCAAGGTGCCCCTTCTCAGTTTTAATGGATTATTTGTTTTATGGTTAACAAATTAATTCTCATATATATATATATATATATATATATATGTATATATATATCATTTAACTTAATTCACACACATATATACATATATATTATTTCATATTTATTTATTTATTAACATGTGTCTGAATAGTTCATATTAACAAAATCCATTAAAAAATAAATAAACTAGAGCCAAATTTGTGTATCCAAAAAGCCTGCTTCAACATTGTCTGATCAAATGACATGAGAAATTTCAAATTTTTTGATGTTGTATGAACTTGCAGTGGGTTCTTTTAGCATGGACAGACGAGGAATGTAAGGTGGTAATGCAGAACTGTCATAAGGCACTTCCGGAGAATGGAAAATTGATTGTTTGCGAACCAGTGGTGCCGGAGCTGACCGATGAGAGTCGCAGAACAAGAGCACTGCTTGGGGGTGACGTATTCATAATGACAATGTATAGAACTAAGGGGAAGCACAGGACCGAAGAACAATTTAAACAGCTCGGCATTTCTTCTGGTTTTCCTCGTTTCCGTGCCTTCTATGTTGACACTTACTTGACTGTGCTTGAGTTTCAGAAATAAGTCATAGGAAAGTATTGATAATACACACTTTTAAAAGTGTGTTAGTGCCATTTCTCTGGTGATATAGCCTTTGAAGTGTGACTTTAATAAATAAATCTTCTGAGATCATGAATGACGAGGAAAAATAATTAGGAACAATAGATTTTGGACACTAACACATTTTTCCTTGTGAATAAAGCTTCCTAAAAAAATTGAATTCATGTTGCTCGTATCTCTTTTGCTCTTAGATTGTAAGCTGAAATTTTAATTTCCTTTTAAGATAGTTACAATAGCCACCAAAGCACCTCTGCCATACTTTAAATAATGATTTTGTTAACTCTTATAACTGAGTTTAAGTATTTTTAAAATAATATATTAATTATATTAAAGATATACATTTTTAATAAAAAATTATTATTTATTATTTAAACTTAACTCTAAACATTGATATTCACATTAAATTTACATTATTTTATTTCGACTAGTATAGACAAACTAAAAAACATCATAAAATAAGAAAACACAATCTATGTTTGGTTTTGGTACTGCTTTTATTTCAGTTGATATTCTTTCAATAATAATTATAAGAATGTTATTTTTTTGTTGTATTAATAATTACAAAAAATATCATTTTGTTTTGTTTTCAAAACCAGAAAAATATTAAAAATACTAAGAACATATTTGATTTCTATTTTAAAAATAGTTTAAAAAATATATAATACAAATTTGTATTACATTTTAGTTTTAAAAACAGAAAAATGTTTTTAAAATAAAAATCAAACATACTTTAAAATCTTAATTTTGTCATTCTATTTACAACATTGTAAAAGTGATAAATATGATTAAGAATATTTTGCAACTATAAATGAAAATATATTAATAAAAAAAACTATAAACTACAAATCCATGCAACTTTGTCTTTTATTTTTTTAAATTCCACTTATAATTTGGTTCCTGAATATACTTTTGACAAAATATATTCCTCATGGTAGATGGTGCTTAAAACTTTAAATCGATATTAACTTTGTTAGTATACTATCACCCGTAATCATTTTTTTCCTATGATGAAAGACATTTTCAAAGTAAGAATTTATGATTAAATTTATATCAAATAATATTATAGTTGAATTTAAAGATTTAAAATTGATTTTGATTGAAATTAACTCAGTCAAATTTTATGGCGAACAAACTGGCTTGAAAGGGGAATTAATGGGGGCATCTCGGAACCCTCAAAAAAGAGTTTCTAACAAATTGAGAGAAGTTAGGGAGATAAAATGCTGGACTTTTCATTTTTTTTAATTTTAAATAATTGATATATAATCTTAAAAAATATAATATAAAAAACGATTCTTTTTATTTTCTTTCTTTCTATATTTACTCATTCAAATAATATTCATTATTATTGATAAATTTAAATTATATAAATAAATAATATTGTAATTAAATTAAAATATCAAAACTACAAACAATTCATCAATTCCAATTAGACAATGGAAAATGGTGAAAAGGCTCTACAAAATATTATTTACTTTTTTTTTTGCTTGAGTTTTTCTTATCTAGTATGGATTATTGTTATTTTTTATTGATAATCGATTGATGATGTTAAAACAAGACAAGAAAAAGTGATTTTATTGTATGTTATTTTTTGTTGTGAAAAAATAAATCATTATAAATTATGCAATTTTAAGCACTAAAGGCAAACACTATAAATTTAAATACTTTTGGCCGTTTAATTTTTCTTTCTAGGGTTTATTACGACTACATGTATTTTTAATATGTTTTAAAATGAGTTCTGTATTTTTTTTTTTATCCATTTGTTTTGATGTGCATTTGGAATGTCCTAATCTTTATACTTTTATGTCGTGAACTTATGTACTCTTATTTTAAAATAATTATTTTTTACAATTGTTTCTATTTAGTCATACGTCTATGTTTCATCTTGTACTCTCTTTTCATATTTATTCTATGATTAATTCTCTTTGATTCTCAAAAAGTAAGTTTTCTCTATTTTTGTTTTAAATGCTATTTTTATTTGTACTTCAAGTCATATATATTTTTCTCTACTTATTCACAATTAAATCAATAAATTTTGAATCTATATTGTTGAAGTTCAAATCTTTATGTGTTTGTTGTTTATCTCTTTATTATTGAGAATCCTATATATGCTAATAGCAATAGAATACAAAAAATTTTAAATGTTCATGGGTTACCACATTGGTTGCAAGAGGCTTTCAGCAAAAGGTGAAAAGAATTAAAAAAAGGTATTTGCTATTGATGCTAGATTGGAGACAGTAAGACTGATGGTTGGAATTGCAAGTTTAAACAAATAGATGTGAAATTGAAATTTTTGAATGGACCTTTTGATGAGAAGGCCTATGTGATTCAACCATGTGAATTTGAAGTGAAAGGTAAAGAAGAAATGGTATACAAGTTGAAAAAAGACTTATATAGCTCCAAGAGCTTGGAGTAGGAGAATTGAAATTTTATAATCAATCAAGGCTTTCTTAAATGTGAGACAAAATATGGGGTCTATGTTAAAGGACTTCTAACTACCGAACGAGTAATTGTATGCTTCCTTGTGGAGAATCTTCTTATTATAGGAGGTTTTGAAAAGGACATTGAAGTATTCAAAACCAATATAATGAAAGAATTTCAAATCACAAACCTGAGTGAATTATCTTATTTCTTAGGACTTGAATTTGTCAAAACAATTCATTAGTTTTTTATGTATCAAATAAGATATACGACCGATATGTTAAAAAGATTTGAGATGATTGAATGTAGCTCAGCTTCAATTTTAGTTGATCCAGAGTAAAGCTTGAAAAGGAAGGAAGTGATTGATAGGAATAAGTTGCCTTGATTTCGAGGATCAATGAGCCTCCTAGAAATAACAGAGAAGGAAAGTGAAAATACTTCTTCTTGTTCATTCATTCCATTCCTTTGGTATTTAACAATCCTCACGTCACCCATGATTGGCTACCCGTGATTTGAGTAAACAAAAAATATTACATACCGAAGGGAATCTATAACAGAAAATACAACTCAGCAATATAAGGAATACTAAAAAATAGGAAATGCTAAATTACTTAGAGATATTTCTACTTGGTGACATAGTCACGGAGGTAACTTGGCATCTTGTATCCCCTTTTGGGCCTCTCCTTCATGTTTCCTTTGTTGGTGTTACTTGCCCCATCTAACTTATCAGCATTTAGGCCTAAACTTATAGGGCTGTTGTTATCAATACCCACCACTGCGGAAGGCACCTTGTCCTCAAGGTGATAGTCAAAGACAAGGTCAGTCCAAAGTTCCCAAGTTGTGTTTTTAGGTGCAAGACCTTTTCATTAAACCAAAGCAAGCTTGGTAGGTGGGGAAGTAGAGGAGTCCATTTTGGTAGCCAAAATTGCAAGTGGCTCGATGAGGGGCATATTATCCTGTGCAAGAGGAGGAAAGTCAGGTGGAGTGGATGGAATTGGTCCCTTGTGCCGCTTCAAAAGGGAGCAGTGAAACACAGGGTGGATTTTGGAACCCTAAGGAAGATCGAACTGATAAGCAACAGGGCCAATGAGAGAAATAATGGGGAAGGGACCATAAAAATGCTTGGCCAATTTGGGGGAAAAAGGAGAATGGAGGGAACGTTGCCTGTAGGGACGTAGGCAAATATAAACCCAATCACCAACTTGAAAAGAGACATCCCTGCGCTGACGGTCAGCAATCAATTTCATGGTTAGTTGTGCTTTTTCGAGCTTCTTGCGCAACTGAGCAATGAGATCCTGACGAGTGGTAAGAAGTGAATCCACGACCTCCACAGAAGAGGATCCCGTCAAATAGAAAGGGATGGAAGGAGGAGGTTTGCCAAAGGTGATCTGGAAAGGAGTGGTTCTAGTAGCCGAGTGAATTGAAGTATTATAAGACCATTTAGAAAGTGAAATGTACCGACCCCAGTGCGAAGGTTGAGCATGAACAAAAGAACGAAGATATTGCTCCAATGTACGATTAAGAACTTCAGTTTGTCCATCTGTTTCAGGATGGTAAGAAGTACTCATGCGTAATTTAGTATCACATAAACGAAACAATTCGCGCCAAAATCTGCTAATAAAGATTGAGTCACGGTCAGAAACCAGGCTGCGTGGGATACCATGGTGCTTGCAAACCATATCCATGAAGAGCTGAGCAACTTTAAAGGCAGTAAAATAGGTAGGAAGGCTACCAAAGTGAGCGCCCTTAGAGAAACGATCAACAACAACGAGGATTATCGTATGGCCCAATGAAGGTGGCAACCCAGTAATGAAGTCAAGTGAAAGATCTTCCCAAGTGTCATAAGGAATTGTGTCACGACCCCTTTTTGTAAAGAACCAAGAACATTGTTTGTACATCACATACTTATTTAAGATAAATAAATAATAGAGAATATAAGTATGAAATTCTCTTCTCAATTAAAATAAAACAAGTTTCTTACAATAAATATCCAACGGAACAACATAATATTACATTTAGTTCATAATATTCAAAATACCCAAAATTATACTACGTAGCTCCCTCTATATGCGGTCTCAAAATATAAGGAAAAAGGACTTTGATGCAATATTACTCGACCCCAGCTTCAATCATTTCTTCAATGGCTCCTCAGCCTGTGAAGTAGATGCAACACCTGCTACATCTGCTCACGTACCACCGTACAATCATCGCAGTACACACGCACACAACGACATAGAAAGAAATGCAAGGGTGAGCTTACCAAACTTAAAATAAAATCATATATATAGAGTAAAATATTTCTCACAACAATAATCCCAAGCATTTCTAGCCCATCTAATGCACAGCATGAAAACGATTTCCAACTGGTTTCACAGCTTAAGTAATCCAGAAGGAACCGAGCCGGTCCGGGAGCGACCCATTCCGGTATCTGGATCCAGACAGCATAACACAATAGCTCAGCATGAACTTACCGTTACACGTCTACCCACCTAAACATGTAACTCGGCTCTATAATGATGCAAAACATATATCTCAGTATGATGCACACCGCTAAAATTATTTTGAACAGCTCAGCTAAGGCAAGTTTAAGATAGATCAGCCAAAATCTCAGCATTTTAAATCAATTAACAGCAGTTACAGCTTAGAAAATAGCTTTTATTCAATAGATCTAACAAAATCATATCAAAACATCTTGAAATAGCATATTAAACCGTTCAAAACGTAGTTCATAGGTTAAAGTAAACTCTCCTTACCTCAGAAAGATGATTCACACTAGATCTACCGAATATTACTTGTTTTAATGCAAGATTTACCAA